CCACCCTGCAGGGTGCTGGAGGCCCTGTGGGAGCTGCTCCTCCAGGCCATTCTGCAGGCGCTGGGTGCAAACCGTGACGTCTCTGCTGATTTCTACAGTCGCTTCCACTTCACGCTGGAGGTAGAGCCCTGTGAAGGAACCCTTCCCGCTGGCCCCCGCCTCAGGGCTGCTCTGATCCCTCCCTTTATCCCCACTGGCTCAGCAGCCACTCCAGGGCTGTCCACGGCACCGCCTCCTGTTAATGCTGAGGTGTGACCTCTGGTGATGGCCTTTCCCCAGCTTTCCTGGGAGCTTCCGATGCCCCCCAGGGTGTGAGAAAGGGCTCTGCCCTGGACTGCTGAGCCCCCAGTGCTGCCTGGGCTCCTTTGTGCTGGGGGTCTCCACCTGTCCCCAGCACAAGCCAGGCTCCCTGATACCTCCACCTTCTTTCCCTGCCCCAGGCCCTGGTCAGTTTTTTCCACGCAGAGGGTCAGGGTTTGCCCCTGGAGAGCCTGAGGGATGGAAGCTATAAGGTGAGGCGGGACCCTCTGCGGCGGGGGCATGGATGAGGGGTCCGAGTTCAAACTGCAGCCCCGCACAGGCTGTGTCCTTGAGCATGAGGCGGCCCCACGGGCAGTCAGGTCTCCCAAGTGCCAGCGCTGAATACCAGCACCCAGGGGCCCCTCCTGATGCGCTTCCCCCTGCAGAGGCTGAAGGAGGAGCTGCGGCTGCACGAATGTTCCACCCGTGAGTGCATTGAGCAGTTCTACCTGGACAAGCTCAAGCAGGTAGGGAGGCGCCCGGGACAGGGTGCTGCCTCTGAGGCTCCCCGAGCCCGGCTGCGCTCACCCGCCTTTCTGCAGAGGACCCTCGAGCAGAACCGGTTTGGACGCCTGAGCGTCCGTTGCCATTATGAGGTGGCTGAGCAGCGGCTGGCTGTGGAGGTGCTGCACGCCGCCGACCTGCTCCCCTTGGACGCCAACGGTGAGCTGCAGCGGGGACGGGTCAGATGATGGTAGGATGGGGACAGAGGGCTCATGACTGTGCTCCTGCAGGCCTAAGCGACCCCTTTGTGATCGTGGAGCTGGGCCCACCGCATCTCTTCCCACTGGTCCGCAGCCAGAGGACCCAGGTGAAGACCCGGACGCTGCACCCTGTATACGACGAGCTCTTCTACTTGTGAGTGTCCCAAGCCCCAGCCCCGGGCTCCAGGCTGCGGGAGTGAGACTCCCCTGACTGGCCTCTGTCCGCAGCTCCGTGCCTGCCGAGGCGTGCCGCCGCCGTGGGGCCTGTGTGCTGTTCACCGTCATGGACCACGACTGGCTGTCCACCAACGACTTCGCTGGGGAGGCGGCCCTCGGCCTAGGGGGCGTCAGTGGTGTCGCCCGGCCCCAGGTGGGCGGGGGTGCAAGGGCTGGGCAGCCTGTCACCCTGCACCTGTGCCGGCCCAGAGCCCAGGGTGAGTGAGCATCCGGGTGGGGGGAGGGGCAGCGGCCTGTCGCTGGCTCCCACACATCTGCCCACGCCCGCTTGCAGTGAGGTCTGCGCTGAGAATGCTGGAAGGCCACACCAGCAAGGAGGCCCAGGAGTTCGTGAAGAAACTCAAGGAGCTGGAGAAGTGCATGGAGGCGGACCCCTGAGTGCGTCAGCTGCTGACCCCGGCCCCGGCCCCCACCCCGAGTTCCCTGAAGCATCTTTCAGCTCACTGTGGCCAGCTTTGTGCAGCCAGGGCCCACGGCGCCCCTCCTGTGCTGTGATGTGTGTGTCGTGGCTGGCCCCGTGGCTCCCATCGCCCTGGCCGTGTCCGTCTGGTGTGTGCTGTGAACCCCTGCACCCAACCCCACATCTGGGTGGCCAACTTGGCAGAACCTGGCCAGAAGCTGCCTGGGACACAGTGCAGGCCACAGTGGGCTTGGCCACCAGGTGCGCTTCCCTGCCCGCTTCCTTGGGCTCCCTGGCCCTGGGTGGGCGGTGGGCAGCTGGTCTCCAGGGACTCAGTGAGTGGCTGTGCTCCCCGCACCACGGGCAATGTGCAGAGGCATTTTTTGGTAGTCACAGCTGGGGAGGGCAAAGAGTGCCACTGGCACTATTAGGTGGAGCTTCCAGAGCCTCCACTCACAGAGGGATGCACAGGGCAGGTGAGTCAAGAACCGCACACGTCTCCAGTCCCCACGGGACTCCCAGGGCAGCGACGTCACCCAAGACTGGTGGTCAGTGTGAAGGGCTCCATGCCAACTGGCAGGGTGTCCTTCACGCACATATCTGTGGCCACCGGAGACCTGCTCCACAGCCCCGCCGGGCAGAGCCAAGAGTTCGCCCCAACCCTTCCCCAGGCCCAGGGTGAAAAACAGAGACTCACACGCGGCTTCCTGGCCTGCAGCTTCATTGCGAGCGCGCTGAGGCAGGATCCAGAGCACAGCTGTGCTGGAAGTGCGGAGAGAACCCGGACAGCTCAGTCCTGCCAGCAGCCACGAGGAGCCGAGACTGCCAGGCCCATCTACGTCCCTCGTGTCTTCAGATCTTCTCGTTACCCAGCCTCAAATATATACGTGTCTGCAACCCTCAGTCTCTCTGCCGCGTCTTGATTCCTTTCCAAACCTCGGCCGGGGCCCTGGCTTCAGCCCCCTGTCCCTGAGTCTGCTCCTCTTCAGAGCAGCTGCTGCTGGTTCCTCCGTGCTCGGCGCCAGGCCCTGGGTCCTCAGACGCATCACTGTCATCAGTGTCCGAGGGCAGCCTGGGAGGGGAGGGGGAGCACATTCCCAAATGACATCCTCCCTGGCTAGCTGGAGGCAACCTCATCCACAAAAAGCCCCAAGCCCAGGACAGAGTCCTCTCCATGTACTCTCCAAACCCAACCCTCTCCAGTGGGATGTCCACTTCAGGTTTTCCAGTCAGACCGTCGGGGTGTTGTTTACGACACCACCCCCAGGCAGCAGGAGGGGCTCAGGCCAGAGGTAGAGGAGAGCCCTGGGTCTGAGTGATCATGAAATGAAGAAGCCCAAGGACCTACCGGGTGCTGGCCACAGGCCTGTTGGGGTTTCCAGACTCTCTCCCTGAATCCACATCGAAGGGATCTGAGCCGAGAGAGGAAAGTCGTCTCTAAGTGAGCTCAGAGCAGGACCAGACCTCCCACCACCCCGGCTTTGGAGGGCCTTGGCTCCCAGCCCCGCCAGGGCTCACCAATCTCCTCCTCCTGGGGGCTCTCCTTGGCACTGGCTAAGAACTCCTGTTCTGCCTGCAGCACCTCCTCCGGGCCGCCGCAGGCCGCGTACTTGTCCAGGAGCTGGCGGTTCAGGTCCAAGAAGCCCTTGCCCCATTTAAACTTCCGCAGCAAAATGACAGCGAGGTCTGGAAAGCCTGATGGTGTGACAAACAAGAAACCCAAAGTAGTAAATGGTCCCCTCAAGTGCGTCCTGATCACCTGCTGCCGGATGGCTCTCCCACGTAACTGCAGGGTCCTCACCAAACATCAGCTTACAGTCCTGAGAGCCTGAGCTGCCCCCAGCCCAGCCTGCACCTCCCCTGCTACAGTCCACACCTCTGCAACTGACCGAGTCCCCCTCCTTGTTGCGAAACGCAAACATTCCCAGCAAGACTGCCCCATGCCTCATCTGGGCTTCTTTAGATCAGCAATTCAGTAAGGAGGACACGGAAGATAAGCAGGATTCTCGGGGCAGTGCTGCCGTCATAATGAATGGCACCCCATACGCTGGCCTCTGTACCGCAGCGATCCCATTCCACCTCCACTGCAACTCCACAGGCCGAAAACCTGAACTGACAGTCGGGGCTGAAACCCTGGTCTGTCTGAACTGCTTCCCTGTCCGTCCCTTACGCTCCTTCAGGGGTCTGTCCTCAGGAAACACGATGCTGGGAGCACAGCAGGAACACCAGGTTGCCCGGTCACGCTGCTGTGGAGCCCCTGGACTCACCTACGATGCAGAAGGTGGCAGCAAAAGCTTCCACGCAGGAAAGTTTGCACGGCCGGCCATAGTTCACGGGGTTGGCAGCCACCAGGTAGGGCAGCAGGCGCAAGTGGCTACCTCGCATCTTCCCAAACGGCGTCTCGTCCAGCCTGGCCCAGGAGCAGTCAATGACGGCGATCCCAGACTGCGCCACCAGCTGTCTGCCAGGGACCGCATGGGGTAAGTTCAGGAGCCAGTACTACCCAAAGTAAAGCATGTCCCTGGAGAATTGCTTCGCTAGGGATTCAGGGACATCATTCCGCCATCCCCAAACATCCTCAAACGGACTTCATGAGCAAGCTTTTGAGGCAGCTGTTTGGGGTACCTAGAGCATGCATTTATTCACTCAACAAACGTTTATTATCCCAAAACCTCCTTTATCCTAAGCTCTGCGCTATGCAAAGGAGGCAAACTAGACAGACGTTCCCTGCCCACGTGGGTGTGGGTGTGGGTGTGGGTGTGACATACAAGTCCCACTAAACGATCCCTGAAAGGAACCACGCGCTGAAAATGAAGACGAGCTAGGGCAGGCCTCCCGCGCCTACCTGTCTGCGGGGGACACGTACTGCTTGCCCACGGGGCTGAGCACCAGACCGCCGAACCTGTGGCCCAGGCGCAGGCAGCGCACCAGCCCCAGGCGGGCCAGCTTGCGGCCGGTGCAGCGCCGGGGGTCGCAGTGGCCCAACTCCCACATGGCCAGCGTGCAGGGCAGCGCCGCCGGGCCCGGGCCGCCCTCGCCCTCAGCCGCCCCTGGCTCCACGGAAGCTGCACGAGAGAGAGAAGGGCACTTGGCCTCAGCGTAGGATCCCCGGGCAGGCCCTCGAACCCCGACCCGCTCTCCCCATCACGCCTCGCTCACCTTGCAGTGCGGCGCCGACCTCCTCGGCGAAGGCCTCCAGGGAGCGGGTCGGGAGGTGCCGAGGACGGCCGCCCTCCACCCCCGGCCCGCGCGCTGCCCTCCTGCGGCCCATGGCGCGGATCCGGGGTGACGGGTACTCCCCACCCAACGGGTACGCCCCTCAGCCTCTGGACAGGCCGTGCGGCTGCCAGCGCCTGCGCGGGGCGCCACTTCCGGTTCCCGTGGTCACGTGACCGTCATTCCACGTGACCGCGCGGCGCTGCGGCGCGATGGCGGCGGGGCTGGTGCGGGTGCTGTTGTTCCTCGGGCTCTCGGCCCGCGGTGAGTGGCCCGGCCGCCCGCGTCCCCAGGCCCCGCGCGCGCTCTGCATCCCGGCCTCCCCGCTCACGGTCTCGCTCCCCGTAGGCCCCGCGCCGGCAGGTGCCGCGAAGATGAAGGTGGTGGAGGAGCCCAACACGTTCGGGTGAGCAGCCTGGCAGCTGGCGGCTCGGGCAGGGGGACGGCCCGGGCCAGTTCCCCGCTGACCCTGCCGCTTCCCGTAGGGTGAACAACCCGTTCTTGCCCCAGGCCAGTCGCCTCCAGGCCAAGAGGGATCCTTCACCCGTGTCTGGTGAGTGAGGAGTGCTGCTGGCGGGCTCGGGGGTGGCCGCGGGGGGCAGCAACAATGGAGGATGGGTGAGAGACCCTGAGAGTTACGGCCCGAAGTCTAAAGCATTGGTTTGTCAGCCTTCTAAAATTAATGTGGAAGTGCGAGAGAATATACCAGAACGTTCTTGTACCGAATTAAAAGTTATCTCCAGACTTAGTCCTTCCTTTTCTTTCCGAGAGGTAATTGCCGTTAATAGTCTGGTAACTTGGCAGAGGCGTTTCTGTGCTTTTACGTGCGTATCTATGCAGCCGGAAAACGTGTAGTTTTTGTAATCTTTGTCACTTTTTTAAAAAATCATGCTGCGCGAGTATTTGGCTGAGTTGTCGTTGTCACTCAGTGTATGTCTTGGGACGCTTCACGGTGGTGATATAGGTCTTCATTCTTTCTCTTGGTGCTCAGTACGCGATCGGATGGCACTGCATTTCCCGATTGTATTTAGGTTCTTTATATTTTTTTTGGCCATTAGAAATAGTGCTGTGGAGAACACGCTGTGTAGGTGCCTTGGTTTGCCCTCAGGTGAGTGGTTTCCCAAGGCAGGATTCCAGAAGTGGAATTGTTGGGTCATGAGTATATATGCCTTTTAAACACTGAATGAGTATTAAGTATAAGAGACAGAAATCCAAGGATTTATTTTTTATTTTTTATTTTTATTTTTTGAGACAGTCTCACTCTGTCGCCCAGGCTGGAGTGCAGTGGCACGATCTCTGCTCACTGCAACCTCCACCTCCTGCGTTCAAGCAATCCTCATGCTTCAGCCTCCCGAGTAGCTGGGATTACAGGCATGCATCACCATCACGCCCAGCAAATTTTTGTATTTTTAGTAGAGACAGGGTTTATTTCACCGTATTGACCAGGCTGGTCTCAAACTCCTGACCTCAAGTGATCCGCCCATCTTGGCCTCCGAAAGTGCTGGGATTAGAGCCGTGAGCCACCATGCCCAGCCTCAGTAATTTTATTATCGAATACTTTTATGTGTTAGGGTCTGTGCTGGGGTTGCAGAAACGAACACAGATACACCAATGCTTGTCCTCAGGGAGCTGACAGTCTCATGGGGAGTGATGGAGGAACAGGCACTGAACAATTAGGTAAAATACATAGAATAGTCGATGATGAAAAATGCCATGTAGATATGTGAAGCAGAGGAGGGAGTATGTGTACATGTGTTAGAGTATTGTTTGGGGGATCGCATTTTTTTTTTATTTTTAGAGACGGGGTCTTGCCCTCTCACTCGGGCTGGAGTGCAGTAGTGCATTCATAGCTCACTGCATCCTTGAACTCCTGGGCTGAAGCAATCAACCACCCTCAGCTTCCTGAGTAGCTGGGACTACAGGTGCATGCCACCATGCCTGGCAAAGTTTACGTGTTTTTGTAGAGATGGAAGTCTCACTACGTTGCCCAGGCTGGCCCCAAACTCCCAGCCTCAAGCAATCCTCCTGCCTTGGCTGGGGACTGCTTTAAATAGGGTGCTGAGGAAAAGTCTAAGAAGTGACATTTCAGCCAAAAGCTAAAGGAGAAAAGGGAGTAAAGCTGTGCCTGTTTGGGGAAAGGGATTCAGGAAAGGGAGTGGCCAAAGGCCTTGAGCAGGAAAGCCCGTGCCAGAGGGGATTCAGCTGGGTAGCCACAGATGAGCGAGAAAGGGGATCAGGTGGTACCGCAGCTTGTTGGTAGGTTTTGTGGACTTTGACTCCAAACAGATCTTTTTAAGGTTTTTGTTGTGTGGCTGGGCATAATGGCGCACGTGGGGTTAGGCTCACTTCCCTGAGGCTGAGAGCCATGGGATGTGGCTTCCCAGGGCCTGAAGCGCTGGAGTCGGGCTAACACTTGTCCCAGGAAGCTGGGGAGGAGGCAGGCCGCTGTGTAAGAGCAGTAGCCGACCGAACCCTTTCCAGTAGGAGAAAGGCAGCCTTGGCTAAGGGGACCACGTCTTTTCGGAGGTGAGAGTCCTGGTTGTGGTGGTACGTGCTTGCTGCTCAGGAGGGAGGCTGAGGTGTGAGGATCGCTTGAGCCCAGGAGTTTAAGACCAGCCTGGCCAACATGGTGAAACCCTGTCTCTACTAAAAAAACACAAAAACAAAAATTAGCCGGGCGTAGCGGTGTCCGCCTGTAATCCCAGCTACTTGGGAGGCCGAGGCTGGAGAATCGCTTGAACCCAGGAGGCGGAGGTTGCAGTGAGCTGAGATCACGCCACTGCACTCCAGCCTGGGTGACAGGGCAAGACTTCGTCTCAAAAAAATAACAAAAAACCCAAAAAATTTAAAAAGAATGTCTTTTATAGTGTTCCCCACCCCCATTCCCACACCTGGGCCCGTCAGGGTTCACAGGTGCATTTGGTTAATCATGTCTCTTTAGTGTTTTAATCTGGAGCAGTTCTCGTTCCACCTTTGGATCTAAGTGGCATGTTTGTTTTCCTGTTTTCCAGTCTTCTTGTTGATAGTGTTTTTCTCCAGACCATTTTTTCCTGCATCTGTGGGGTTGGGCGCGGATAGTCTCCCGCGTCCGTGGGATCGGGCACGGATGTTCTGAGTGTTTTTTTGTCTTTGAGGTAGCACTCCTTCAGCATCAGCGTGTGAAACAGATTGTGCGCAGTGGGTAGGAGAGTGTGGTCTGTGGAAGGAGCAGAGCAGAAAGATAATCGGGCTGAGAAACTCGGGCGTGGTGAGTGCGACCTAGGGCTCAGAAGGTCCCAGCAGAAGAACCTCTGCCGAGAAGGAAGGGGTGGGTTTGCTAGGGCCGAGGCTGGTGGGGCTGGGCTGGGCATCGGGCACCTCCATGGCCTGGGTCTCCACCAGATGAGTCAGGAGTCTCATCCCCTGACAGCAGGAGGAACAGAGGTTGGTAGGTCTGTGATTTGGAGACAGTATCCTGCTGTGGCATGGACAGGGATGGGGCATGGTCAGGGTGGTGGTCCTGCCACAGCCCAGCACACTGTCCAGGAGGGAGCTCTGCCTCAGTGGCAGTGGGAGGGAGCAGCCAGCTGGGCAGGACTCTGGGGCCCTGGCAGGGGCCTGGATCTGGGGAGGGGTTGGGGAGGAGCCGAGTGGCCCCAGGATCCTGGCTAGAGAAGCCATGGCAAGTGGACTGCAGGGGTCAGGCTGGGAGCTTGCTTTTGGTTGGGGCCAGGCTGGGTCTATGAGGCAGTTCTGGTGCTTGGAGAGGGGTCATGGTGGGCACAGGACTCATTAGTGGGGGTGCATGAGGTCCAAGGGTGAGGGTGAGGTCCCCGGGGAAGTTGTTGGTGGGGTATGGGGGTTGTGGAAGTTAGGAGGGCACTGGGACCAGGTGTGGGGCTAGGCCAGGGAGCAGAGTGGGAGGGAGGACCACCTCGAGAAGGGACTGTCACCAAGACATGCAGCCCTAGGGGGGTGCTTCCCACCGAAGCTTGACCAGGGGCAGACGGGAAATGAGGGAGTCTAGGCTCAGCCAAGCTGATGGGGCCTTGAGGAGCTGTGGCCTCGGGCGTAAGGACAGCTGGTGGTAAGGCCACCTGGGCCCGCAGGAGCGAAGGGCACTGGCGAGTGTCCTGACCATGCAGACTGTGAGCATGGAGCCTGCAGGTGACGTGCGGGCGAATGAGGAGCAGAGGAGGAGCCTGCCGGCAGGGGTGATGGCATTTGGGGGGGGTGGTATTTGGGCGTGGAGACTCCAGCTCAGGTCTGGCTGTGTCTGACTGAAGGAGTGGAGGGGCCGGACCCCACCCCTCTCAGGAGAGCAGGCTGCTGAGACCTGAGGGCCTGGCGGAGGGGAGGGGCCGTGGCTGGGGTTCTGGTGTGGGCCAGCAGCAGAGGACCCGGGGTACTGGGCACTGCCAGTTGGGGACTTGTGGTACCATCCCCTGCAGGAGGCTGCACCCCAGCCAGTGGGAGCCCCCTGAAGCTGTGGAAGCGCCCAGGCAGAGGCCTTCTCCCAGCTGGGGAGCCAGGCCAGGCCCTGCCGCCCTCACGCAGCCCTGTTTGGACGGATGGCCCTGCAGGTACAGAGCTGAGCCTGGTGCCCACGCCCCTCCTGGGGTGTCTCCAAGTCATGTCTGCTGGGGGTAAGCCTGGGAATGCGAGTTCCCAGGACACAGGAGCTTGACCAGCCGCCCTCCCAGTGGGAGTCTGTGAGCGGCAGATGGGCGAGGGACACGTCAGGGTGTCGGATGGCTCCAAAGGCTTCCCTGTGTGCCTGTTGGGCAGAGCCCTGGGGCCAGACTGGAGGGGCCGAGCCCCAGCACCCCAGGCTATGGGACAGCAGGCATGACAGGGCTGAGGTGGAGCCCCCAGCGGTCAGGCTGGGAGGACAGTGGGTGAGCCCGGGAGTGGGGGCCACCCAGATGGTATCTGACGAGGAAGGACCAGGATTTTCCTATATCCACAGCCCCTGAGCAGGGCAGCCAGGCCATCTTGGTCTCCATCTGTCTTGGGAGGGGACAGCCCCAGGGGTGAGTGGAATGTCAGGAACAGAAGGCCAGGCCGGGCCAGCACCCTAGAGGTCTCAGTGGCATTAGCCTCTGCCCTCCAGGAGCGGGGATCAGGCTGAGGCTCCTGGGTTGGCCAGGTTCCCAGGGAATAGTCACCCAGCACCTCGTGTGTATTTTGGCTTTATTATTATTTTTAAGATAGAGTCTCGCTCTGTCGCCCAGGCTGGAGCACGGTGGTGTGATCTCGGCTCACTGCAACCTCTGCCTCCTGGGTTCACACCATTCTCCTGCCTCTGCCTCCCGAGTAGCTGGGATTACAGGCGCCCGCCACCACACCTGGCTAATTTTTTTGTGTTTTTAGTAGAGACGGGGTTTCACTGTGTTAGCCAGGATGGTCTCGATCTCCTGACCTCGTGATCTGCCCACTTTGGCCTCCCAGAGTGCTGAGATTACAGGTGTGAGCCATGGCGCCCGGCCTGGACTTTATTAATACAGTAAAACTGCAGAGTTTAAAACGTCAGTCTAACTGAGGCATCCTCCTCTAACCAGTGCACTTGCTGCTGCAGCGCAGGCCGGACAGGAGCCAGGCGCCAGGTCTCCTCCCCGCCTCCATGGCCCACGCCCCAGCCTTGCCCACAGCCCAGAGGATGGCCTCATGGCTGACAGTCTCGGTGGGTGCTGGGACAGGTGCATACCCAGCCAGGTCCCGACTCCCCAGCGTGCCTGAAGAACGGGGTGGCTGCTGTGGCGTCTTTTACTGACAAGTTGCCACTGGCCTTGATTTGTACACTCCCTCGCTCTAGCACTGCCTGTGGCCGGCCTGGCTGGAGGCTCAGGACGCTGCACACCTTCCCTCTTCCCGCAGGGGCTGGTTACACTGCCCTGCAACCATCAGCACCAGCGTCTGCACAACTTGCTCTGTCCCCTTCAAACCCTGGCTCCCCCAGCCCTGGCACCCACCATTCTGCTGTCTCCGAACTTGGCTGTTGCAGAGACGCCACACAGATGACCCGTAACTGCACACGACCTTCTGTGTCTGACTGACTCCTCTTGGCACAGTGTCCCCAGGGTCCCCCAGGCTGGAGGCTCTCAGTGCCTCCTTCGTTTTTATGGCTGAGGACTGTTGCACGCGAGGAGAGACCACGTGTTTACCCGTCGTCTGGACACGGGGGTGACGTCCAGCCCCTGGCTGGGAATAGGCTGCTGTGAACTTGGGTGTAAATACTGAGTCTCTGCTTCCAATTTCTGAGAGTAGCTTTGCTGGATCTTGTTAGAATTCCATGTTTAGCTTTTTGAGGAACCACCAAACTGTTTGCACGGTGGCTGCACCATTTCCCATTCCAGCCAGCATTGCACAGAGGGGTCTGGTTTCTCCACATTTTCACCAACACTTTGTTGTTTTTGCTAACAGCCATCCTGATGGGTGTGAAGTGGTACCTTAGGGTTGTCTTAATTTGCACTTCCCTAATTAATGATGTGGGATCTTTTCAGTTGCTTATGGTCTGTTTGTATGTCTTTTTTTTTTTTTTTTTTTTTTTGAGACGGAGTCTCGCTCTGTCGCCCAGGCTGGAGTGCAGTGGCCAGATCTCAGCTCACTGCAAGCTCCGCCTCCCGGGTTTACGCCATTCTCCTGCCTCAGCCTCCCGAGTAGCTGGGACTACAGGCGCCCGCCACCTTGCCCGGCTAGTTTTTTGTAGTTTTAGTAGAGACGGGGTTTCACTGTGTTCGCCAGGATGGTCTCCATCTCCTGACCTCGTGATCCACCTGTCTCGGCCTCCCAAAGTGCTGGGATTACAGGCTTGAGCCACCGTGCCCGGCCTCTTTTTTTTTTTTTGAGATGGAGTCTCGCTCTGTCGCCCAGGCTGGAGTGCAGTGGTGCAACCTCGGCTCACTGCAAGCTCCGCCTCCCAGGCTCAAGCAGTTCTCTTGCCTCAAGCCTCTCAAATAGCTGGGATTACAGGCGTGCACCACCACACCTGGCTAATTTTTATTTAGTAGAGACAGGGTTTCTCCATGTTGACCAGGCTGGTCTCAAACTCCTGACCTCAGGTGATCCGCCCGCCTTGGCCTCCCAGAGTGCTGGGATGACAGGCCTCTTTGCCCATTTTTAAACTGGGTTTATTGTAGGGCTGTGGTTCTTTATATATGCTGGATATGAATCCCTTACGTCTATGATTTGCCAGTGTTTATTTTCTCCCATTCTGTGGGTTGTCTTTTCACTCCCTTGATGGTTTTTTGTTTTGTTTTTTCCATACAGTCTAACTCTTTAGCCCTGGCTGGAGTGCAGTAGCACAATCTCAGCTCATGGCAACCTCTCCACCTCCCAGGCTCAAGCAATTCTCCTAGGTCAGCCTCCTGAGTAGCTGGGACTGCAGGCGTTTGCCATCACGCTCGGCTAATTTTTTGTATTTTATTAGAGACCAGGTTTCACCATGTTGGCCAGGATAGTCTCAATCTCCTGACCTCGTGATCCGCCTGCCTTGGCCTCCCAAAGCGCTGGGATTACAGGCGTGGGCCACTGTGCCCGGCCTCTACGCCAGTCTTTATGCTAGTATCACACTGTTTTGATCATGACTGCTTTGAAGTAATTTTTGGAATCAGTATGTATGTCTTTCAACTCTGTTCTTTTTCAAGATCGTTCGATGATTTGGGGGTCCTCTGAGACTCCCTATGAACTTTAGGATGTGTTTTTCTATTTCTGCAAAAAATGTCATTGGGATTTGGATGGGGTTGCATTGAATCTGCACATCACTATGCGTGGTAGTCATCTTAAAAATATTAAATCCATCAGGGCGGGCGTGGGGGCTCACGCCTGTAATCCCAGCACTTTAGGAGGCTGAGGCAGGTGGATCAACTGAGGTCAGGAGTTCAAGACCAGCCTGGCCAACATGGAGAAACCCTGTCTGTACAAAAATAAACAAAAATTAGCCAGCCGTGGTGGTGGGCACCTGTAATCCTAGCTACTGGGGAGGTTGAGGCGGGAAAACTGGTTGAACCCAGAGGTGGAGGTTGCAGAGAGCCGAGATCGTCCCATTGCACTCCAGCCTGGTGACAAGACTAGACTCCATCTCTAAATAAATAAATAAATAAATAAATAAATAAAGGGTATGGATGTCTCCTGTCAGCCTTATGTAGTGGGTGGCACCGTTTGTACATGGATAATTGTGGTGTCTTGGCACATGGACCCTTGTGTCAATATATAACGTATTTGTCTCTTGTAGTTTCAGCCACTCCAGCTCTCTTTTGGCTGTTTACATGAATACTTTTCCATACCTTCACTTTCAACCTGTTTATGTCTTTAAAAGTTAGTCTTTCAGGCGGGGCGCAGTGGCTTACGCCTGTAATCCCAGCACTTGGGAGGCCAAGGTGGACAGATCTGGAGGTCCAGAGTTTAGACCAGCCTGGCCAACATAGTGAAACCCCATCTTTGCTGAAAATACAAAAATTAGCCGGGTGTGGTGGTTCGTGCCTGGGATCCCAGCTACTCGGGAGGCTGAGGCAGGGGAATGACTTGAACCCAGGAGGCAGAGGTTGCAATGAGCCGAGATCGTGCCATTGCACTTTAGCTTGGGTTACAGAATGAGACTGTCTCTCAAAAAGAAAGAAAAAAACCTGATGCCTGATGAGGTGAGGTGGAACAGTTTCATCCCACAACCACCCATCCCCACCCCCGGCTGACAGAAAAACAGCCTTCCATGAAACCAGTCCCTGCTGCCGTAAATATTCGGGACCACTGGTTTAAGTTCTGTAGCTATACAGACCACAGCTAGAAAGGTAACTGGCATTTAATTTACCCCCGTACTAGGGCCCTCCGTCTCCTTCCAGCTCGGCTGCCATCTGTCTACTCACTTCCCCGCGGGGCACATGGGCCTGCAGGTAGCCAACTCCTGAAGCTTTTATCTGGGAATGTCTTTTTTTGTTGTTTTTTGGAGACAGGGTCTTGCTCTGTCATGCAGGCTGGAGTGCCGTGGTACGATCTCAGTTCACTGCAACCTCCGCTTCCCGGGTTCAAGCAATTCTCCTGCCTCAGCCTCCCGAGTAGGTGGGACTACAGGTACACACCACCACACCCAGCTAGTTTTTTGTGTGTGTTTTTAGTGTAGACACGGGGGTCTCGCAGTGTTGCCCGTACTGGTCTCATACTCCTGGCCTCAAGCGATCTTCCCGCCCTGGCCTCCCAAAGTGCTGAGATGACAGGTGTGAGCCACGATACCAAGCCTGAACTCTCATTTTTAAAGGGCTATTGTTAGAATTCTCGGTTTTGTCAGTTTCTTCCATTGAATGGGACCTGTTTTCCTGTTTCTTTGAACATCTTGTGCTTTTTGTTAAAAACTGGTCCTCTGAAAACAGACTCTGCCAGCCTTGGCAAACAGGTTCTGTGCACGGAGCCTGGGGATCAGTGTGAGTCTCTTCCAGGGCCGGCGCATCTCTTCCGACTCGCGGGCAAGTGCTTCAGCCTGGTGGAGTCCACGTGAGTGCGGGGGGTGCGAGGGTGGGCTGGGGCGCAGCCTGGGGACACCCCTCATGCCACCTGTGTCCCCAGGTACAAGTACGAGTTCTGCCCATTCCACAACGTGACCCAGCATGAGCAGACCTTCCGCTGGAACGCCTACAGCGGGGTCCTCGGGTGAGCAGGGCTGGGCCAGGGATCCCAAAGCAGCAGCGCGGCTCCCCCTCCCAGCCTCACGGGCTGTGCCCGTGTCCCCACAGCATCTGGCACGAGTGGGAGATCGCCAACAACACCTTCACGGGCATGTGGATGAGGGATGGTGACGCCTGCCGTTCCCGGAGCCGGCAGAGCAAGGTGGGGCCTCAGACGGGAGCCCGGGAAGAGGGGCCCCAGCCTCTGCAACACACCCACCGGCGTGCCCTCCCCAGGTGGAGCTGGCATGTGGAAAAAGCAACCGGCTGGCCCACGTGTCCGAGCCGAGCACCTGTGTCTATGCACTGACATTCGAGACCCCCCTCGTCTGCCACCCCCACGCCTTGCTAGGTAGGGGTGCGGGACGCAGTGGGGGCCGGTGGGGTCAGCCACGCACGTAGCCCTGCAGTGGTGGGGGCCAGGGTTGGGACATGGGGCACAACTGAGTCTGGCTTCTCTTGGGCCCTCAGTGTACCCGACCCTGCCAGAGGCCCTGCAGCGGCGGTGGGACCAGGTGGAGCAGGACCTGGCCGACAAGCTGATCACCGCCCAGGTAAGCATATGCTCGGGGTTGCCCCTGGCGGGCCCAGCTGGGAGCTGGGTGCTGCCCCTGCATCCTCCACCTTCAGGGCCATGAGAAGTTGCTGCGGACACTTTTTGAGGATGCTGGCTACTTAAAGGCCCCAGAAGAAAACGAACCCACCCAGCTGGAGGGAGGTCCTGACAGCTTGGGGTTTGAGACCCTGGAAAACTGCAGAAAGGTACCGTACTGCGGGGAGGTGGCAGCGCACAGTAGCCTCCCGCCCCGCCCCCCACCCCGGCCTTTCCCTGGAACTTCGTGTTGTAGGCTCATAAAGAACTGTCAAAGGAGATCAAAAGGCTAAAAGGTTTGCTCACCCAGCACGGCATCCCCTATGTGAGGCCCACAGGTAAGTCACCTGTGGGGAGGGGGCCAGGCCACCATCGTACCCACCACCTGTGGGTCCAGGTGAGGACCGGCCACCTGGTGTTTTGGCAGAAACTTCTAGCTTGGAGCACTTGGGGCACAAGACACCCAGAGCCAAGCCTCCAGAGCAGCTGCGGGGTGACCCAGGACTGCGTGGGAGTTTGTGACCCTATGGTGGGAAGCAGAGGTGGACACGGCCGAGCGCCCTGGAGATTGGCTGGTAGGACCCCCAGGGACCAGCTGGCCAGGCTTGTGCTCAGAGAAGCAGACAAAACAAAGATTCAAGGTTTTAATTAATTCCCATACTGATAAAAATAATTCCATGAATTCTGTAAACCATTGCATAAATGCTATAGTGTAAAAAAATTTAACAAGTGTTGTTAACTTTAAACAGTTCACTACAAGTAAATGATTATAAATCCTACCTTCCGGATTAAAATTCCACTCAAACAACACTCTCATCTAAATACTCAAACATACAGATCGAGGCTTCCAGAAATTAATCCACGTGACGCGTCCACACGGAACAAGGTCTGCTGACCACAGTTACACACGTCACTGTTTCACGGCTAATGTTGAACACTAGAGTTACAGACAGGCAACAAGCACACACACAACCGGCCACCACCTGGCTCCTATGCCCAGTGCCAGCCATGGCCACAGGTGGGAGCCGCTGGGCCTGCCTCCACGGGGCACCTTCCAGCCACTGCTGTGTGCCTCGGCCACCGAGATGGGTGAGGAAGGCCCCAGGGCGGGCAGCCCCAGGGTCTTGCCTCCATTTCTAATCCTGGCAGCACCGCCAGCCATTCTTTGGTCTTCCCACTGCTCACCTGTCCTCAGAGCCAGTACAAATATGGGGGAGCAGATGTCTCCGCCGTCCCCCAACCCCTGGGGCTCCCAGCTCCACCACCCCAGAAGCTGATCCATGGGGATGCCCTGAGGGGCAGCCGCCACGCTGTTCCCAGAAAGAGCAGAGCAGCCGGCAGACGAGCGCTCCGCTGCTCCCGACAACCGGGAGAGGTCTGGGCAGACACCATATCCCAGAAAAGACCAGAGGCCCGAAATGGGAACCAAGTGCATAAATAATAAAAACAGAGGATTTTACACATTGATGACAGTAGCACAAAATATACGTAATTTCTAGATACTGAGCTAATAAATCATCACTATAATTAAAAACAAAATAGATTCACTAAAACCAAGTCGATAGTTACCTGGAGTAGTGGACTAGCTGCAGAATGTCACGGATCCACTTCCTTTAAAATGATAGAATGTTGCTATCAGTTTGTCTTACATTTAAAAAGTTCTTAAACCTCCTACTATATTAAATACATTCTAATTTGGTCACTGATAAAAATTTTTTACCTAGACGTTTTGCACTTTTAAAAAATGCTATTAAAAGTCTTTGGCAAAGCCACGGGCAGGGAGGAACACGCTGATGCTGCTGCCTGCTCTTGTGCCCTCACAACCCACATGGCCCACAGAGAGCCAGGTCGCCGTAAATCACAGACGCCTGTTCCTGCTCCTCAACTCCTAGGGACAGTCCCCACCCTGAGCAGAAGGGTCAGGTCATTGCGGGGACGCGTTCTCAGTCGCGTTTCTGCTGCGGCCGGAAGCCACGCTCTCGCTCCAGGGTCAGACAGGCCAGGGGACTCAGCAGAGCCGTCCCCTTGGGGGGCCACTTCCCCCGTGTGCTCCAGGCCACTAAAAGGCTGTGATTGGGTCCTGGTGTGACCTCGCTGGCCACATGGATGAGCTCTGATACTAACTGGCAGTACGGGTCAGGTGACTCACATACACCCGGCACCCTGGCGCACACCACAGCTCGAGCATCTCCCACACAAGCAGGACGGGGGTGGCCACAGGTGCTGGGGAGCCAGCCACTCTCCCAGTTCACTGCCTGACCCCCAATAGGACGCCCAGTGATGTCTCCAAGGAGCCACAAAGCACCATTGCCTAGGACAGATCTAAGTAATCAGAAGACAGCTTTTTTTTTTTTTTGAGCCAGAGTCTCACTCTGTCACCCAGGCTGGAGTGCAGTGGGTGATCCTGGCTCACTGCAACCTCTGCCTCCTGGGTTCAAGCGATTCTCCTACCTCAGCCCCCTGAGCAGCTGGGACCACAGGCGCCCGCCACCACGCCCGGCTAATTTTTGTATTTTTAGTAGAGACAGGGTTTCACCATGTAAGCCAGGATGGTCTCAAACTCCTGACCTTAGGTGATCCACCCGCCTCAGCCTCCCAAAGTGCTGGGATCACAGGCGTGAGCCACCGTGCCCGGCCAGAAGACAGCTGCTTAAAAAAGTAATTCTAAAACCTCTGATGTCTGATCCCTTCTGCTGCATTTTTCGTTAGCATCAAACTGTCTTTCAGAGGTTCAAGGGATAAAACGAACCCAATGATGCTCCTTCACTTGTTTAGCAAGGCACAGGCGCATAGGAAAAGCGGCCACGGATCACAGAAATGCAGGATGGAGCTCTCCTGCTCCCACGTCCCGAGGCTGGAATATCAACCCTAGTGCCTTGTGCGCACACAGGCTCGGGAAAACGAGCTCCTTCAAGTTAAAAACATCTAAATCCATAATCACTCTGCTTATAAATACTATGCACTTAATGGGAAAATGTAAAAATCCTAGGTCTTACTACTAGATAAACGCTCATTTCTTAAGTGCTAGTTTCAGAATATGAAATCTAATATATTCAGCATACTATGAATTGACAATAAACTGATACGAAATATTTAAGTTCACAGTACACATATAAAGCTTCATATCGAATATTTAAAAAACAACATAGAAAGCAGCTTAGAGCAATTTATAACCTCTAAATTCCTCGGTTTACAAAGTGCTTTGAAAGACCCCAGCTCCCAGTGGTCCAGTCACAGGACCACAAACTGCTGCGATCACAGTGCCACGCGGACCCCTGAGGCACCAGGCCCCTCGAGGACAGGCAGGCGGGTTCTGTGGGTTTGCCTTTAAGGTTTTTGAGGAAAATACCTTGAAACCGTCGGTAGGACTAGATAGGTGACAACGTGTGACAGGAAAGCTGTCGGGCCGAGTGCGGGCGGGGGCTCCCAGCCTCATGATAACAGCTGAGCGCAGGCGGGGGCTCCCAGCCTCGGTCCTCACATCAGTGGCACCAGAGGTGAGTGACGATGTGTCTGTGGTCACGAGTGCTGGAGCCAGGGTGCCCAGCAGGAGGTGGCTGTCCCCGCTGAGGTCACCACCGCAGGGGCTGGCCCTTGCAGTAGGGGCACTCGGGTGCGGCGGCCGCACACGGCTCACAGAGGACGCGGTGCTGGCAGGGCCGCAGGACGGCACCGTGGGCCCGCTCCCGGCAGGCCACACACTGCTTGGCACGGAGCTGGAAGATCACCTGCAGGACCAGAATAGTAACGGGGTCAGGAGGCCCTGCCCAGGCTGGACCAGCTGGGGAGCTGCAGGGCCTTCTGGGCAGGACTCGGCATCTCAGGCCACCCGGCCACCAGCTACAGAGACAGGGTCAGGGAGATGCCCCCAGCCAGGGCCACCTCAGGGAAAAGGCAGCTGCTGGGTGGCGAGAATGCTCCGTCTCAAGCCCTGGGCAGAGGACGGCCCCCGGGGGCCACCACAGACACGGCAGTGGCCGCACAGGACAGGCCCTTGAGGGCCCTGGCGGCTGGGTGCCCAGGATGTGGGCTACACAGGACACACTGGCCCACAGCAGTTAGGCCGAGAGTCCACCCTTCACAGGCGAGGTGAGGACAGGCATGCTGAAGTGGAGGGAGCATGTGTGAGGGTTGCAGCTGTGAACAGGGAGGGATGGGGCCGCCTTCCCTGTGGAGGGTGCAGCCTGGCATTCGCTGGTAAGAGGGAGGGGTGAAAGGGCAAGGGCCAGCCTGACAGGAGAGGCGGCTCCCAGGGAGACAGGCAACGAGGTCTCAGGGGGTCTGTGCTGGGGCGGGGCACTGTCCCCTCCTCCCCAGGCCCGGAGCAGACCCGAGGAGCGGGGGGGAGAGGACACCGCACCAGCCAGGGCCCTCCCCAGACAGGGACAGCAGCCCTGCAGACAGGCTAGCCCTCACCCTGCCCCGAGCAGGACTCACGCCATCCACCGCCTCCAGGTCCAGGCGCAGCTGACTCTGCAGCGAGTGCAGCTTAGGCAGGGGAATGGTGCCGATGTCCCCGCAGCCCCGCAGCCCCGGCAGTGTGGAGGCTACACCCAGGCCCTCCAGCTCCTCCTGCAGCTGCTTCACCTGTGCCTCCACCTCCTCCTTCTTCTGCAGCGCCAGCTGCCGGTCACTATCGGCCACGCGGGCACGTTCCTTGGCCTCCTGTGCCTCTCGCTGCCAGGCATCGCAGACCTGAAACCCAGGGCCCGTGCAGGAGGCAGCCAGAGCCCATCTCAGCCCCTCCCACCTCACCTATGCCACCTGCAGACCCCACTGCCCGTGTCACCTGCGATCCTCCCCCCCTTCCCCCTCACCTGTGGCCCCCTCACCTGAGTCCCCCCCGGCCCCCCCTCCCCCCCCCCCCCCACCCTCACCTGAGTCCCCGGCGGCCCTCCCTCACCTGTCTCACCCCCCCACACTCACTTGAGTCCCCCGCGGCCCTCCCTCACCTGTCTCGGCGGCCTCTCTCACTCTGTTCTACTTTACTGAGTCTCTTTGCCTTCCTTTTCCCCCACTTGAGTCCCCCGCGGCCCTCCCTCACCTGTCTCACACCCCCCACACTCGAGTCCCCCGCGGCCCTCCCTCACCTGTCTCTCCCCCCCAACACTCACCTGAGTCCCCTGTGGCCCTCCCTCCCCCTCACCTGTCTGGCCCCCCACACGCTCACCTGTTTCACCTGCTGCCAGGACTCCTCCCACTGCCGGATCTTCCTCTTGGCCTCGTCCAGCTGCCGTCTGACCCGGGCCAGCTCAGTCCCGTTTGGACTTGAACCCGAAGAGGATGGGGGGCCGGCGCTCAGGATAGGGGTGGGGCTGGGGGAGAAGCTGCCGGAAACAAAGTCCCAGATGCTCCCGGGGACACCGTTCAAACCTGAGTGTGAAAGGGCCGATGACAGCCCAGCCCAGCTGTGCTCACGGCCTGGTGACTGCTGGGTGCTATGCCCCGGCCCCACCGCCACGTGGGCACCCTCTGGGGCTCACCCACCCTGATAGCAGGGGTCTTGCCCTTTGTCCTGCCTGCCCCTTGCCCCACTCCTGGACCCCACCAGCCTCAGGAAGAGGCGCTGGGGACCGTGTGGGGCTGGCAGAGGCACAGACAGTGACACCTGCCCCGGCCGGTCTCCCCACCAGATCTGTGCCTTCCTGGCCACCTGAGGAGTCTGAACAGAGGAGTAAATTGGAGTTCCTGGGACCACACCACGAGGTGGAAGAGGCAGTGGTTCTCAGACTCCACTCCCAGGAACGCCTCACACAGACTCTCACAGACCCCAAAGAGCTGTTCCACACGGTGACATCTACCAATGTGTATGCAGCTTGAGAGACTATGAGATGCTCTAAATGTTACTTTAACAAAAACAGGCCTGTCATCCCAGCGCTTTGGGAGGCCGAGGCAGGCAGATCACCCGAGGTCAGGAGTTTGAGAGCAGCCTGGCCAACATGGTGAAACCCCATCTCTACTAAAAACACAAAAATTAGACGGGTGTGGTAGCAGGAGCCTGTGATCCCAGCTACTCGGGAGGCTGAGGCAAGACAATCATTTTAACCTGGAAGGGGAGGCTGCAGTGAGCGAAGATGCTGGAGCCTGGGCGACAGAGTGAGACTTTGTCTTAAAAAAATAAAAACTTTTAAAATTTTGTAATTTTTGGAGAGTCAGGAATCTCACTATGGTGCCTAGGCTTCTCTTGAACCCCTGGCCTCAAGTGATCCACCCACCTCGGCCTCCCAAAGTGCTGGGATTACAGGCCTGAGCCACTGTGCTGGCCCAAAGTGGTTTTGGTTTTGTTTTTTTTTTTGAGACGGAGTCTCGCTCTAACACCAGGCTGGAGTGCAGTGGCGCGATCTCGGGTCACTGCAACCTCCGACTCCCGGGTTCAAGCGATTCTCCTGCCTCAGCCTCCCGAGTAGCTGGGACTACAAGTGCCCGCAACCACGCCTGGCTAATTTTTTTATTTTTAGTAGAGATGAGGTTTCACCGTGTTAACCAGGATGGTCTCGATCTCCTGACCTCCTGCTCTGCCCTCCTCAGCCTCCCAAAGTGCTGGGATTACAGGCATGAGCCACTGCGCCCGGACTTTTTTTTTTTTTTTTTTTTTTGAGACAGAGTTTCACTCTTATTGCCCAGGCTGGAGTGTAACGACACAGTCTTGGCTCACCGCAACCTCCACCTCCCAGGTTCAAGTGATTCTCCTGCCTCAGCCTCCTGAGTAGCTGGGATTACAGGCACAAGTCACCACGCCCAGCTAATTTTGTATTTTTAGTAGAGACAGGGTTTCTCCATGTTGATCAGGCTGCTCTCCAGTCATCAAGCCCAGCCAAGTGTTAGTTCGTTTACAACGTAACAAACAGCCGTGCATGGTGGCTCAAGCCTGTCATCCCAGCACTTCGGGAGGCCGAGGTAGGCAGATCACGAGGTCAGGAGTTTGAGACCAGCCTGGCCAACATGGTGAAACCCGTCTTTACTAAAAACACAAAAATTAGCTAGGGGTAGTGGCGCAAGCCTCTAATCCCAGCTACTCGGGAGGCTGAGGCAGGAGAATTGCTTGAACCCGGGAGGCAGAGGTTGCAGTGAGCCAAGATCGTGCCATTGCACTCCAGCCTGGGTGACAGAGCAACACTGTCTGCGGTAGGGGGAGCCTGTGAGTAGCAGGCCACGTGGTTTGCCACCATGGATGGGGCACAAGGTTCCATGTGGGGCCCCTCAGTCAGGGTGGCCTCTGGGAGGCAGCCCCATGGAGGCTTCATGGGAACGCTTGCGTGGAGGGAGACAGCACTCACCTAAGGGGCTGTAGGATGAGGCTGAAGAGCCCAGTGCACCCGGCTCTGAACGCAGGGGTGGCGGCTGCTGGGGAGGCGTCATGGCCGAGGAACCCACCGGCCCCGGGAGGGGCTGGGACAGCGAACTGAGTGGCGAGGTGGACGCGGAGGACGGCGAGTGCAGCGATGGTGCTCGGGGCAGGGAGCCCGGTATGGTAACAGGCGCAGAGCCGGCCAGTGACCTGGGACCTGGCAGGGGTGGACCAGTGAGCGAAGTAAGTACCGCTAGGCCTCTGCCCAAACATCTGCCCACCGGCGGGCGGCAGCCACGGAAGACGGACCCTGCATGCGGTGGTGGTGGGGATATGGGGAGGTGGGGATACGGGGGCCAGGCCAGCAGCCACCTTCTATGGGTGTGGAGCCACAGAACCCCGGGTGGCCACGTCTCACACAGTTGGGCAAGCCATGGGCTCAAAGGGATTTCAACCAGAGGGGGGGACACAGGGGTTTAGCGTGGGCCCCCCCCAAGAGGCCAAACACCCACCAGGCTCTGCCAGCCAATTTAGCCACTAGCACAGTCCTCCCAGCACTTGTCCAGTCCCCCTAAAATAGTTGACTTTCTTTTAAAGTCAGAAAGAAAAGATACACTTTTAGGCTGAAGGAAAGGGTGTTGTATAGGAAAAGACATTTGTATGGATGTTGATCTTTTGTCTACAATGTGAATACATTTGTCCTTCGGAGACCATCAGGACCTTCCTCAGGGAGAGCCCCACCTGTCTGCAGGGCCACTTTGAAGGTGAACGGAAGAAGTGGGAGGCGGGAAAGAGAGGCTGAGGAGTCCGTGTGCGGGGGGGGGAAGGGGAGGGGCAGTGAAGGAGAGGAGGAGGTACCGCCAGAAGGGGGACCTCCCGCCCCCAAAACCAGATACAGGCTATTGCACTATCACCCAGGCAGGAGCGCAGTGGTCCAACCCCCGCTCACTGCAGCCTTGACCTTCCTGGGCTCAAGCGATCCTCCTGCCACAGCGCTTAGCTGTTCAGCGGCTGGAGGAACAGGGCCCCAGGTGCTCCTCGCCCTCACCTGCTGGTCCCAGGTCGTGGCCGTCTTGCTCTTCCAGATCCTTCTCTAGGGATGCAATATTCACATTGCTAAGATGTGGGTCTAACGCGGAACCTGTCAACAGAGCCCCCCATCATCCACAGCCCACACAGTGCTGCAGAGCTCAGGAAGCCCAGCTGAGGAGGACGACTGTCCGGCCTGGGCTTAAAGTGAGACCAAGGGCAGAAGGCATGGGAGTTGCTGGGGGAGCCTGGGAAGGACACCCCCAGCCCACCCTCGCAGCCCCCAGCAGGCAGTGGGAGGCTTGGCTGTTCTCTGGCAGAACGAGCACGTGCAGGTGGGACACCCCGCCACAGCCCAGCAGCTGGGTCCTCGCCTCCGCATGCCGCTGCTGCTCCTCGGAGTGTAAATACCTAAGCGTGTGTTAGCATCTGACCATGTGTGCACTCTCGACGGTTTGAAAAACTTTCTGGGAGGGTGATTTCAAGGAGCAGGTGATCATCTGCAATTTCATGCCAAGCACCAAGACCTCAATCCCCCAGGCTCAAGACTGAGTGGGAAGGACCCTCCTCGGAGCGGCCTCACCCAGCCAGCCCTGCCTTCCGAGGCTGTCCCCACCCGTCCCTGCAGGCCATGGGGCTGCCCTCCTGCATGGGCCCTCCCAAGTCCCCAACCCCAACCCCGAACGGCACGCGGTGGCCCCAGTGCCCCTTCCTAGTATTAGGAAGCTGTCTTGAGGAGGCTGAGCTCTGGTCACCAGCCCCTGAGGACAGCGTGTCTCGAACTCCTGCAGCCTCTGCACAGAGGTCGGGTTGGGGATGGGGGGTGACCAGAAGATCTGGGATCTGAGAACCCACGTGCCACGGGGGCAGGCCAGGGGACCGCGGCGGCTGCAGGAGCTCCGGGACACACCCTGTGGGCTGGTGCCGCCTCCCACAGCAGCAGGTGGGAGAGGAGCCTGGCTCAGGAGTGGACAGTGGACTCCAGGTCCACCTGGGGGATCTTGACCCTCCACTGACGCCTGGTACTAACAGTGTGCTGCTAAGTCCTGCTCTGAGACGCGCAAAGCCACCCCTGCCTGTCCCTGAAGGGTCTCAGACCCCCTTCTTCCTGTCCTCACCTGGGACAGATGGTCCCTCCACAGCCCCAGGCAACCGCACCCCGGGGACACCTGTCAGACCCGACTGGGGGTTGGCGCGCCGGGAGCCTCCAGCCTGGCCAGCCCTGCCTGGTGCTCGGTTCAGACCAGTAGCCCAGCAGAAGCGGAGAGGTGGTCACTGCCCCCCAGGTACCGACGTCAAGCCCCGCCCTCACAGGGCTCTTGCAGCCTCACTCCCCGCACCCCACCCCACCCCACCCAGCGTGGAGCTGGCTGATCCAGGCAGGGATGACTGCTGCGAACTGGTGGCCATGTCAGCGTGACAGCAGGTTCACCACACAGGGGGCGTCCCAGGAAACAGCTGGAGAAATGGACTGGGCAGCCAACGGGTCGCAGAGGGACAAAACCCCACTCGGCTGGGGCCCTTCCAGACATTTTCAGCATCAACAGGAAAGGCAGGAAGGTGACTTCTGAAGAACAACGCGACACTAGCCACACGCGAGATTTGTGGGGACCACAGGTGTGGGGCCCAGCCTCAGCTCATGGCCTGCACCTCACCCCTCCACCCAGGCCTCCACTTCTCCTCCGTGGAACCGGCTGGCACCAGTCAGTGCCACGGGGACCACGGGAGCAACCACAGGGTGGCAGGTGGCCCCTCGCCTGAGGCCTGGTGCTCGGTGGCCACACACTCTGAACCCCACAGGAGCAGCCAGAACATCCTCGTGCCACGTGGTAGCCCTGGCCGTGCACAGCCCATCGCGCACAGGCACAGGCTGGTGTGGATGCTGCGCGGCCTGGCAGGTCCGGGCCTCTGAACTTCACCCTGAATCTGGCCTCGCTCAGCAGCCACACTGTGTGGAGACCGTGCTCCACCACCCACAGCAGCAGGTGGGAGAGGAGCCTGGCTCAGGGGTGGACAGTGGACCCCAGAGGCCGCAAGGCAGAGGCCATCCCCACCCCACTCCACCGCACAGCACGACCCAGACTCAACCCTCATCCACACGCCAGCCATGAGGGAATTTCCGGGGCACAGAGGCCGGGCTGTGGTGCCACCTGGCAACACGGTCCTTCCCGGTCACAGAGGCAGCAGGACCCGGGGCAGAGAACCTGACGCCCTGAGGCATCCGGGACAGCACATGGCACCTGCAGCAGCAGTCTCCACTCCCACAGAGACACTGTTCAAATGAAGCTTTTAGGGACTTTCGAAGGTCTTATCCAGAAACTAAAGGAACAGGTGGGGGGTGGAGGCGGCCAGGCCAAGACCCCCTGAGGACCAGGAACCCACAACAGCAGTTGCCAAGGCCTCGGCCCTCAAGGACGCTCATTGGCAGAACCAAAGGCAGACCCTGGGCCAGCGGCACCCAAAGCCATTCGCTCCTCTCCTTCCCACTCACAGGATAGTGACATCCTCGAGCGGACATCCACCCTGGCCTGCAGAGTGGGCCAGCCCTCCTGGTCCCTGTCATCCACCTGACGTGCTCAGGCCATGGCTGAAGAGGGCACAACCTCAAAGCCTGAGTGAAGTCGTGCTGCGAAGCACAGAGCTGAGACGCTGGAGGCAGCAGCAGAGGACCATGCACTGAGTGGCCTCAGACAGGTGGCTCCAAGGCTGAAAGTCAGATCTGCAGTGGGCAGGGCCTCCCCCCTCCAGGGCTGGGGTGTGCTCCTCCTCCCTCCTCCTTCCAGGGCTGGGGCAGGGCCTCCTCCAGGGCTGGGGTGTGCTCCCTCCTCCTCCTCCTTCCAGGCTGGGGTGCTCCTCCCTCCTCCCCTCCTCTCCAGGGCTGGGTGCTCCTCCTCCCTCCTCTCTCCAGGGCTGGGGTGTGCTCCTCCTCCTCCCTCCTCTCTCCAGGGCTGGGGCACGCTCCTCCTCCCTCCTCCCTCCCTCTAGGACCTGGGGCGCTGCTCCTCCTCCCTCCCTCTAGGACCTGGGGCTCTCCTCCTCCTCCTCCTGGTGTCCACTCTCCTTCATGGCTGGCAGCCACATGACTCCGGTGTCTGCTTCTGCGCTGGGGGCCATCTCTTCTGAGTGTCTGTCCAAGTTTGTTCTTATAAGGACACTGGTCACTGGCCCACCCTACCGGCCTCATTTTAACCTGGTTATGAGGACCCTGCAGTAGCATCCCCCGATCTGGAGCAGGGGGGATACATTCCAAGACCCCCCATGGAGGCCTGAGGCTGCGGATGACATGGAACCCCTACACACCAGGCTTTTTCCTATATGAACGTCCTCATTTGCATGTCAAGCCCAGTAAGAGATTAACAAGATTTACTAGTTACATAGACAGATTTCAGCACTGCACAGTAATAAAAGTTAACTGAGCAACCAAATGCCCTCCTGTACAGTGCCATCCTGAACCCAGACCTCACACCAGCAACTGAGGCAGTGGACAGCGAACGCTGGGATAAAAGGACCTGTTGTGCTTCCACGCAACGCCACAGAGCCCGGTGCGGGGCCTGGGGTTCAGGTGCATCTTTTTTTTTTTTTTTTTTTTTTTCCCTAGACAGAGTCTTGCTCTGTCGCCCAGGCTGGAGTGCAGTGGTGCGATCTCAGCTCACTGCAACCTCCGCCTCCCAGGCTCAAGCTATTCTCCTGCCTCAGCCTCCTGAGCAGCTGGGACTACAGCTGCCCTCCACCACTCCCAGCTAACTTTGTATTTTTAGTACAGACAGGTTTTCTCTATATTGGTCAGGCTGGTCTCGAACTCCCCACCTCAGGTGATCCGCCTGCCTCCTCTCCCAAAGTGCTGGGATTACAGGCATGAGCCACCGTGCCCAGCCTCAAATGCAACTTTCAGGGGACACAATTCAACCCAGGACATGGGGGCCCACCTGCAGATGCCCCGTTGGTCCTGTCCGTCCTCCCCAGGCCCCTCAGGACTCTGTACCAAAAGATCTGCCCCTGCTGTGCACAGCCCTCCCTCCCTGAGTCCTCCCCAGGGAGGAGACCCCCACCTCTGTCTCCACTCCTCCTGCAGCTGTTTTCTGGGGCCTCCTCAGCACTCACTCTGCCCACCGCTGCCCGGGGCCTTTCCCTCCAGCCCTGCACCTGTGCCCTGAACTGCCTCTGGTCACAGGCACCAGCTTCCCTCCCAGGCCCACCCCCAGGCCCACTCTCCTCCCTGGTGCCTGGCAGCCTCTCCTGTGGCCTGGACCCGCCCAACACAGTGGCTCTGCAGCCCCCAGCCCAGATGTCCTGGACGTCCCCCAGCAGGGGCCAGAGCCCCTCCTCCCTAGCAAAGGATCCCTCGCTCGTTCCCATGGCCCCACTGCAGGGCCTTCCCAGACAGTGTGTGTGCAGGGCCCTCCCGGAAGCTGGCACTACAGGGCCCCTTCCTCAGGGGCTGCTTGCTCAGCCCACACCAATGAGGCCAATACCTTCACGCATCGGAAGAGTGACCTTCCTACTACAAAAAGCCTCATCGTGTCCCGAGCCCTGACCTGCAAGAAAGGAGGGAGGGAGCTTGTGCCCTTGCGCGTGCCGGTCACCGCTTCCCAATGGGTCCTTTGCCAGGCTCCCAACCTGCTGTGCCACTGAGGCTCAGCCTGGCCGTGCCTTCCAGTCACTAAGATCAGCCCCACCAGTCCCCAGAAAGCTGCTCGGCCTCCAAGCCTTGCGTGGAATGCCCCCCACTCCATCCTTGCAGGTGTCACCCTCAACCATGCCAAGGCCCCGGGCAGACTCACCCACTGAGGACAGGCACCGATCCCCAACCCGCAGGCCTGCCCACGGCCCCCGTGTGCTTCCACACTGGGGCTTGATGACGGGGAGGGCCAAGCCGTCTGCGCAGGGTCAGGTCAGCCACGCTCAGGAACCTGAACCTGCCCTCTGCACCCAAGTCCCGGGATCAGGATGTGGCAGCCCCTTCAGAGCTCACCCCCTCACACCTGGCAGAGATCCAGAAACTCCTCATGAAAAGCAAAGACGCAAAGGAGTTGGGGGACAGGAACGGAGGCGCCTTTTCTCCCCTTGGAGTGGGGGGATCGCACCATGCTCTGTGCGTAAGTCAGGACAGAG